GGTGTGTGTGTGTGTGTGTGTGGGGGGGGAGGACTGAGAGCAGCCCCCTGCCATGTCCCCACTCCCCAGGCTCTCCACGTGGCCGAGAGCAGGTGGAGGGTCCGCGATGCCATGGGGGCTCCCCACCTGGGCTCTGGCAGGAGGCATGCCTCGGAGCTTCAGCCCAGCCCCCAGTGTAGAGCCCTGCAAACTCACGGATATCTGCACACACGGATGCAGATATCCACAGATTATTTTTGTGGATCGCGGATTGGATGCAGGGCTCTACCAATGACTGTCCAGTCCATTTCCCGTGCTCCATTAATTATGGCATATGGAACAGCTTCAACCAGAGAGAGTGAGGGGTATCAGACTATTCCATAGCTCAATGGCTAGAGTATTGTCCTGAGAAGTGGGAGACCCCCTACTCAAAGCCATTTGTCCCCTCGGGAGAATGAGGGGTGGGAAAGGGAGTTGAACTGGCGTCTTACACACTCCAGGCAAATGCTTTGACCATTGGGTCATAAGTTAGGCAGCAGCAGCACCTGCTCTTCTGGCAGCTAGGTTTTGAATGGGGCCTGCTCTGGTAGGTGTGAGCAGAGGATGTGTCTTTACAGGATCAGGCCCTGCATGCGACATAGGTGGCCAAATACTTATCTTCCACCTCAGGTTGCCAACATTGTATTTCAAAAATAAGAGACTGATTTCTTAGCACTCCAATCATAGAATATCAGGGTTAGAAGGGACCTCAGGAGGTCATCTAGTCCAAGCCCCTGCTCAAAGCAGGACCAATCCCCAACTATTTTTTTGGCCTCAGACCCCTAAATGGCCCCATCAAGGATTGAAATCACAATGCTGGGTTTAGCAGGCCAATACTCAAACCACTGAGCTATCCCTCCCCTCCAGCCTCACTCCACCTTGTGATATTATTATAATATTATTAATAATCATTACTACTAAGCAGTTCTCACCTACATTCACTAGGGGTATTTCTTGCTGCTTTTTGCAGCACTCATCAACTCCCAATCTTGTTGTACAGAGCTGGAAAAAGAAGGGACATCGGGGGTGCTGGAACAATTTGTATAGTTGGGGTGTTGAGAGCCATTGAACCAAACTGTAAACCCTGAATATGATGGAAGCCACTTCAAGCTGGGAGTGCTGCCTCTAGTTTCAGCACCTCCGAGGGACGTCCTTTGTAATAAGGGACTGTTGGCAACCCTACACCCATTCACAAATTGTTCTAGGGTATAGTGGGACATAGGCATCCCGACATCTAGAATGGGGCAGCAGCGTGCATGCCCCGGGCTCTGAAATATAGGTGCCTCAGGAGCTTTGACAATGGAAAGGGTAGGCTCTTCACATCTATCAAGTTCCAGAAGCTCTTCAAGTTGTTTTGTTCTTTTTGGTTCTAAAAAATGTTAGCGTTTCCTAGTCTTCTGCTATTGCGGGAAAGCTTTGGAAAATAGATGGGTCTTGCAACATGTCTTCTGTAGATGCCCAGGTTTGGGCTTATTTCTGTTATCTCAAAGGGGAGCCAAGATAACTCTGAATGTGTAAAGTGGTGTCGGAATAGAAACAAAAAAAGGCTCTCTGCCATATCTGTCACTGGCGGACTAGTGCAGATCTCCTCCCCTCTCCCCTTGTGTGGTGCCCAATAAATATAACTGACAAGAGATAAGGTTCAAAACAAACAGGTAAATGTATTAGGGGATATTATTACACAGCTAGGGAAGGGGTAAATGTAAATGACTAATAGCTATATAACAAACAAACCCAGTGGTGCAGCAGCTCTTCCCTGTGAGCGTGAAGCTCAGGCACCATCAGCCTACGATCATAGTTCTTTTATAGAATCTATGGCGGGAAAACATGGTACAATCCATAGAAAGGCAGGAAACAGTCTGAGGTGATGGAATCTTGGGGCTCATCCAGTAGCGGGAAAAACCCGTTCAGGCCAGTTTTATCCAGACCAGACTGACAGTGTACAGAAGGTCACAAGATGGAGTCACAAGATGACAGTTTCCAGACTCCATCTTGGATTGCCACAGTGTTCTTAAAATCACTGATTATTGGGTCTGATACCCACACATAGTTTAATAAACGGTGTGTAATAAACCAGAGAACAATACAACACTCCATACCAAACATTTCCTGCCCCTCAGTCACTTTTTCTAAAGTCAAATATCCCTTGAATGAGAATGCTTTGGATCTGATCCTGAGGCTGTGGCAAGAGCCACAGGTCTTATGAGCTTTGTTCTATTTAGTTTCTCACATAAATTTTGCCACTTTATTAAAGGGAAATGTGTCCATCCATATTAACTGGAATTTCCTGTCCCCTTCATGATAATGGAGATCTAACTGAAGTAAGGACATTAGGCTCTTTACTTAGGCTTGGTCTACACTACCCCCCTAATTCGAACTAAGGTACGCAACTTCAGCTACGTGAATAACGTAGCTGAAGTCGAAGTACCTTAGTTCGAACTTAGGGGGGTAGTGTAGCCCAAGCCTAAGTAAAGAGCCTAATATCCTTACTTCA